TCACTGGTGTCAGTGGGAGGAATAGCGCCCCGTCACTGGTGTCAGTGGGAGGAATAGCGCCCCCACTGGTGTCAGTGGGAGGAATAGCGCCCCGTCACTGGTGTCAGTGGGAGGAATAGCGCCCCGTCACTGGTGTCAGTGGGAGGAATAGCGCCCCGTCACTGGTGTCAGTGGGAGGAATAGCGCCCCGTCACTGGTGTCAGTGGGAGGAATAGCCCCCGTCACTGGTGTCAGTGGGGGGAATAGCGCCCCGTCATTGGTGTCAGTGGGGGGAATAGCGCCCCGTCATTGGTGTCAGTGGGAGGAATAGCGCCCCATCATTGGTATCAGTGGCGGGAATAGCGCCCCATCATTAGTATCAGTGGGGGGAATAGCACCCCATTATTGGTGTCAGTGGAATAGTGCCCCATCATTGGTGTCAGTGGGAGGAATAGTGTCCCATCATTGGTGTCAGTGGGAGGAATAGTGTCCCAACGTTGGTGTCAGTGGGAGGAATAGTATCCCATCGTTGGTGTCAGTGGGGGGGAGGAAAAGTGCCCCATCGTTGGTGTCAATGGGGGGGAGGAATAGTGCCCCATCATTGGTGTCAGTGGGGGGTGGAATAGTGCCCCATCATTGGTGTCAGTGGGGGGGGGGGGGAGGAATAGTGCCCAATCGTTGGTGTCAGTGGGGGGGAGGAAAAGTGCCCCATCGTTGGTGTCAGTGGGAGGAATAATGCCCCATCATTGGTATCAGTGACACCAATGATGGGGCACTATTCCTCCCACTGACACTTGCTGACCTCTGTTCCAGTATGGTGCTGCTGCAGCCAGCATATGTGGTTGCAGCAGCACCCAAGCACGGCACACTTACCTGCATCTCCTTCACTCGATTTTCGCGGGGCCGCTCAGCTTCGCCTCCTCGCCGGTGATTGGCCGCCTGTGTGCCTTTCCTGAGCTACAGTTCTGGCGGCCAATCACCGGTGAGAGGGCGGAGCCGAGCAGCCGCGTGAACATCCAGTGGACGAACCGTATGGAGCAGCCGCGCTTCCTGGACCGGATCGTCGTGGGACCGGAGCCAGGTAAGAGACAGCAGCCCCCTGCCCACCCCTGTACTTACCGTAGTTTCCCTTCTGTTGGAAGGGGGGGGGAGCCATCTGCAGACGTTGACTCGAGTATAAGCCGAGGGGGCCGTTTTTCAGCACATAAAATGTGCTGAAAAACTCGGCTTATACTCGAGTATATACGGTATACACACTGTTCAGCCTGCCAGTGCATTGATGTTTTTGATATTCCAGGTCAAGCCATGGCTGAGAGCTCAGCATCGATGATGAACTAAAATTTTCCTTTCATCTCATGTGCATTGAAGCACATCTGATTGGCTCCCATGCTGCTTCTTTGTTTCGCGCTAATTGACGATGTGCCTTTAAAATATTTGTAGTGACCATATGACTGCATCCACATTCAAATACATGAAGTGTAAGTTTATTTACCAAATAGTTAATATTTGCAATGTTGCACACTCCCTTCCTAGGAGGGAGAATGCAGAGGGCTGTTTGAGGTTACAACCGTCTTTTTCCTGAGGTGACAAACTGTCAGCAGCTGGGAATCACAATATTTGCAGCAAAGACTTATTGAGCATATCTACAATCCTGTCATTCACACAGTGAGCACCCTCCCATCTCCACTCCTTAACGTACAAGGCAAACAGATCTAAAGGTTTTTTATATAAGGTCTCCTACACATGGATGTTAAAGGGAAACCGAATCACATTTATTAAAAAACATGGGCGCCAACCCCAACCAGAATAAATATAAACAAAAGGAGAAAGCAGCTTTTTAAAGTGTGCACCGCCTTAAACCAATATCAAAAACAAAAAAAGCACATTAATTAAATTAATCATAAAAGTATTGCAATTACATAGTATTGTGCCCCCCAGGCACTAAAATAAAACACAGATTAAATCAAAAGTGCTGCACCATGCTGTTCGCTGAGCGATGTATTACATTAATTCCATTAACATAATACACTATGGGTGCGATCTTTTCTTCTTCTTTTTTTGAACATATATGGGGCTGATACCCCCCTCTGGACCTTCAGAATATTGCAAGAGTCTGTTTTTTTTAATTCCCCTTCAATATGATGAGTTGTGTGGATATTGAGCATGCTGGTTATGATGGCCATCTGGTAAGTTGCCAATCTTAGTACACGTGGTGAAGGAATATTGGATCACTTGCATGTGTTTCATGGGCACATGAAAAAGAGGTTCTCTATCAGTACATCACTGCACTGATTATTTATTTTATGGACACTTCACTTATTTATTCCATGTAATTATATGAATTGACACTTCACTTATTTATTTTATGTAATTATATGGTTTACTCATGAGTAGTTGATACGTTTAATGTTTATGCATGTGTTTTGTATTTAGAGATTGCGGCATATAATAATTATTTTATTGTTTTATCCACACCTTATCAAATTTTGTGAGGGCACATTTATTGGAGATAAACGCTTTTTTTTTTTTTTTTTGAGTCACATTCATATCCTAAATGCCTATTAAGCTGCCCCTAAAGGGTTAGATTTTGTTTTAATATTCATAGAAAGCTTACTGCACTGTTCCTCCCAGGTGCATTGCAGTGTGAATAGGACTCATAGAAAACAGTAGCAGTGACCAGTATTCTTCCAGTGTGGTATAATGTAGGTCACTGCTCTGTGTGTGAACAGGGCCCAAAGGCATTGCTCAAAAGAAATCTTTAGAAGTGAGAGCCTTAAGATAATGAATCACACAAATCAACCAGAAACACCAGTAATAGAAGCAAATGTCTTTTTTCAAATGTGTACAATGGCTCAACAAAGACATGAACTCAAAGATAACACCTGTCTAGGACCCCTAATAAAGTGCCATGATGTGTCTCTAAACTCCCCCAGATCTTATTCCATGCAAGATATATATATATACACACACACATACACACGCACACGTTTGGATACATATATTAATAATGGGAGTCATGCATCATTTTAAGTCTTTATCAAATCAACTATGAGGTTCTTCAAGAAATAAATTACGTTTTTAGAAAGACCTTAAAGTAACACTAAATGTCCTTATTCTCCAAAAGTAATCCATACACATCCACTTCTTGAAGGCCCTCTAATTTATTTTTCATGAAATTGTTTCTTACTGTGTTTTTCTGCCTCTTTATAACATTCTCTGTGAGCTCCTGAACCTCTCCTTTCCCACCTCAATTCCATTTGTTTGGAATGAGTAGTGCACTTTTTTTGCAGTCATGGATACTGCACTAAACACACAAAAATCCCATAGTCCATCTCAGGAGTGTGAAAGAGGCTACGTTCTGACATACAGTGGGACCATGGAGAACAAATGTAGTCACCTTCTAACAGAAAGTCGTATCGTAGCAACAAACAAAAAAAATGGAATTTGGACATGTGAAAACATGCAACTAGAAGTGCTCTGCAGAAAAGTGTTTCTAAGTCTAAGATTTCTGTATATAAAAGTTATTACAGGGGCCTGAGAGAGCCTCCATTTCCCTCGCCTCCACTTTGGACCCTATTCTCCACAAACTACATTGACAAAAGTCACCACATCTATCAGACACACCTGCAACCTACATAAAGTAAAAGCCTTTGGCAACAGAACTATATATGTAATTCTTACTGGGGTCTCACAATGCTCTGTATTTTACTACTGTGCTATCTGCATATTAAATTCATTTTGTTTGTACTGCGTGTTACCCCTGTACTGCACAAATGAAAAATCTTTAATAAAACTTAGAAAAAGTTATTAGACAGGTTTTTAAAGGGAAACCTCACTCATAAAGTGAAGTACCACGCATTCTTTTTTTCCCCTAGTCTAATCGGAGTTCCTAGATTTTTGCGGGGGGGGGGGGGGGGGGGGGGGGGCAAGTTCTGTCTCTTGTCAGTAGCAGTTCCCACTTCCTTAATTCTCTCCAAGGCAAGGATGGTGTTTCTCAACCTGCCCCCTTCCACCAGCAGCAGCCTCCTGAGACAGGGTCAGTTTTCCTGTGCTGCATGATCTTGCACATGCGCAGTGTGGAGTCGGCTGTGATTTGTCAGGAAGCCAGAACCAGCTTCCCAATCCAAGATTGGGGACTCACAGCAGTGAGAAGAAACCGCTGTGGGAAGAGAGAGCTGGAGTTCATGGACTGGTAAGTACCTGATTTTTCAAATTCAGCAGCTGCAGCATTTGGGCCATCATTTACAGTTAACTCTATACTGATAACCTGAGTTTATAGTGACATCTGTGGACAATTTTGGGTAACAAAGTTTATCGCCATTTTTGGGGCATTTGTAAATATAAAAGCGAAGTATGGCCAGAGCTTTTTTGGCCATACTTCTCTTGTGGGTCACAGGAGTACACATAATTTTGTGCTCCGGTGACCAAAAGTCAGATTATAGCAGGCTATTGCCCTTGGTCAGCTGATGTCACAAAGGTTACCAACCATATTGTCGAGATCCACTCGGCTGCCTGATTAACAGGTGGATCCGGTTCCCAACACGTGGCTAAGAGCTGAAGCCAACTGCGTCTGTCCCCTCTTCAGCATGACACTTAAGTGAGCGCTGGAGAGCCAAAGCAGAGAGCAATGGCTGACAGCCACTGCTCTCCACTCCGAGCAGACCGAGAACTGAGCAATCAGCAGTCATGTGATCACTCAGTTCTCTGTCTTAGAGCCGACAGGACAGCAGCAGCATCACACTGATGCTGCAGCATGGAGGTGAGTTCAGTATGTATGTTTTTGTTTTTTTTAATTCCCTTACTTCCCCTTTAATGCATGACATATTAAGTATGTACTCATCACAACCACATGTTTTTACGAAAACTGGGCATTATATTGTGTTTGTGTGCAGAAAATATGTCATGTTTTAGGGGTTTAATTTTCAGGCCTAAAATGTGCATTTTAACAAGGCTGCAAAAATGGAAACATCTCTGGTAGCAAAGTTGTCAACAAGATTTTGATCAGGGTTTGCGCTTTACAGTTGCAGGTTCTGTTGCCAGCTATGCCGTGACTAGAAGAGAGACGGAAAAATGTTCCAGATTGTGGATTTATCTTGAGAAAGATCATCAAACGCAATTACATCACACAGGTGATTATGCAGAAATAGTGAAAAGTTCACATTTTTTTTTAATGACGATGAAGATATTTTTTCCTGGAAAGAGATTAGCTGTGAATATTTCCTGTTATAAAGATGTTTTATGGGTTCCTGATCAATGTACACTAAATATTGTGGGTCAGTTGAAGTGATCAGAGAAGAAGAACCACCATATTATTGATTACAGGTGGTAATGAGAAAGGTTGCAGAGGTGCCAGCCATGATGGCTTATTAGGTTTATTCTCTGTTTCCTTATCTGAAAATCCATGGATGATTGGTAACTTGTAGGTTAATTTGAGACTGGTAACCCAAATAGGGTAAATATGGGAGTTGTTTTATTTGCCAAAGGATTCTGTCCACCCAGTCCTGCGTTTTACACAGTCCTCCAAGACAGCACAGCCAGCCTGATGACTTGACTCACTTCTGCAGTTAAGCCTCATAGTTAGATCACCTCTCTGTCCCAGTCTGATTGGACAGTGAATGAACAGCTATAGGGGTCATGCAGGCATTCCTCTCCTCTCTCTTTCTATCAGTGTGTTGCTTGTCATCATATAGACATTTCTGAAAGGCCAGTACTGCCCTCCTTCTCCCATTCTACATGCTTCATTGAAACAAAAGTTTAGCCTGGAGTTGTGCTATAAAGTGGTTCAAAGGTCTTTTTTACCTTAACGCATTCTCTGTACTGTGTGTTCCTCTCCTCCCCCTGCCTAACACTTATCTGCCTCCTTTTTCGATCCAGCGCTGTGCCTGTCTGCAGGCCTTGTCTTCCTGGTCTCATAGGCTTTGCTGAGAACAGTGAGTGCCATTGGCTGCTGCTGCTGTCAGTCAAATACAGAGAGCGAAGGGCGGGGCTGAGCCACACTGTGTATGTCTATGGACACAAGCAACCCAGCTTGGGAGTGAGCCCACATGTCTGCCTGCCCCCATAGCAAGCGGCTTGCTATGGGGGCAGATACAGAAGAGGAGTCAAGATCGCTGGTGAGGGACCCAAGAAGAAGAGTTTGAGGCAGTTCGGTGCATTACCATAGCACACAGCAGGTACAAATAACATGTTTATCATTTTGAGGAAAAAAAGAAAAAAAAAAATCAGACTTTGCAATCACTTTAACTTCAACCCTAATACATTGTCTGTCGTATGACACAACATTGCCTAAACTATAATGAAAGCTAACTCTACACCTACTGCTGCCCCAAGATATCACGGAACCAGTATTTTCCTGTTGTAATATACTCACCTGCTGGAAGGTTTTTCCATAATGTAGAATAAATAATCAAAGGTCCAACTTCCAGGTCTGTCATCATTGCTGTGAGTTTGCAGAACTGGCAGGCACACAAACCTTGAATTCACTAGTGGGTGCAAGGCATGTGTTTACATTGTGATTCACTCTGCTTGTTATTATATGATATAATCACAGAGCATATTTCATTAAGTTTTTACTTGTTCTCTTTCAGAGTACCAGCAAACCACAGAAACAGATCAAAAGTACAGGAAAACCAGGAATAAATACGGCGATGAAACTGAATAAATTACACAGCAAAGCAAAAGTATGGGACTTTCCTGAACATGAATGTTTCCTGCCAAAGATCACAGAGAAAATAAAATATAACAATACACATGGTATTTTTTTTACATCGCTACTATTGTTTCTTTTTTCTGTTTGTCTATAACTGAAATCTGGACATCCCCTTGTTGAATGGCTAATACAGTCTGTGAAAAATGGCTGGGGCTTTCCTAAAAGTTACCAGTTACAAGGAAGGTATATCAGGCTACAAGGAAGCATAGTTAAAGAGATCCTGTATTTTGCTTATATTTACAAAGTGAATGCCTAAAAACTCCTGGTACTAGGTTACATGTGTCAATTCTTCTTCCTTCATCTATCTCAGTTCAGCGCTGGATCCCTGAATCAGGCCAAGTGCTGTCACAAGAGGGCAGAAGAGAGCTTACTTAGACCTGTCACGGTTTTTTTTCATAGTATGGAACTTCTGCAGGAATCTTGGAGGTATCTGCTAACAGAACAGGCAGGAGGGCACAGGGAATGTAAGTGCTTGCTTAGGGCTCATGTACACAGAGCATTTGGAAAACTCTTCTGACTGCTGGAAACTGATTGCTAGAAAAACGTAGGTTAAAAAAAACATCAGTTTAAGCCGTGTTTGCGTTTAGAAACGTTTTTAAAAGATAACCTCAGGAGACCTTCCCAAATGCCCAGAATGCACTGAAAAATAGTAAATAATAATTACCTATTTCAGACATTTTGAGAGAAAAGAGATCAGAAGCAGAGAGAGCAGTATGTGTTGAGATGACCTGTCTTTTCTGGTTGTATTCACTATGGATCCCATCATGAGCATAATGCAGCACGTTCTACCTTTTTTTTCCTTCACGCGAAACCTGGAACTGACTGCGCTGGTGTACTAGGTCCATTTGAATACATGGAAAACACTTTGCATGCATTTTTGATGAGGAAAAAATGCTCTGGACAGCATCTGGATATGGACCTGTCAAAAAACACGTCTAAACACAAACGTGGTTAACCGTGTTTACAAGCATTTGAAACGCCGGTAAAATCTACCCCTGAACGCAATTTTGGTGCGTTCAAGAAAACGAATGTAAACTCAACTGCCTGTAAAGGACTATGTGTACATGGACACATAGGAAAACATAAAATCCCCCATGCACTCCTCTGCTGTTCAAATTATTGCTCTTCTCTCCCAGCATACATATACGCGGTGTACAGCATGTCTGAATAAAGATTCTTAGTGGTTAACCCCCTCTTTCTTGCCATTTCTGGACATTAGCAGTTCACCCCCAGCGTCTACTCTGGATTTTTCAAATGGTGTGGTCCAGCAATGGCTGAGCGGAGCTGCTGAGAAAATACACTACACATGTGCAGTGTTTGAACAAGCCAGAGCAGCCTCACGAGGCACACTGCAAACATCTTGTTTGTCCCGCCGTTAAGGCAGGACCAAGGGGGGTCAGCTACTAATGAGTTTTTTCAAACAGTCTGCACAAGGCCTACTTGTATGGAGGGGGACAGAATATGCTTGGAATGCTTGGGGGATTTTTTGCAAAATTGCCATGAAAGGTGAACTAACCCCTTTTAAGGGTCTAATTATAAAGCAGTGAATGTGCTCCTTGTGTACACATGGTCTGCATTCTCTGTGTAGGAGTATATTTTGGAACTCACATATTTCAGCAACCTCAGATATTATGGAAAGTTTTCTTCCATTTTCGGATACACGAGAATGTGTGCGACTAGGACTGGGAAGGGGGAGAGTGATGACCTGGAAGTCTGGTCTCTGAGATATGCTGGTTTTCAGCAGGCAGGGTCAGATTCCTTATACCAACTAACTACAAACACTGCTTTTTAGAAATTTGTGACAGTGTCAGTAGGGGGGACATGTCAGGCTGCAGGAGAGAAAAACAATTGTGAGTGTAAAAAAATAGGAGCAATCAGCTCTTTACTTTTATCACATACATAAAATCTATAATAAAGACTTATAACAGAGCCCTTTTTGTTTGTGTCCTTATTTCAAAATACAGCTAGAACACAGGACAAAGGGGTCCACACCCATACATTTGCGTTGTCACCTCCCCACCACCTTTATTAACCCCTAAAAAACCCACACCACTGTTCTCCACGCGCATGCTTTGTACATGGTCAATTGGATGGGTCACATTTAACGAACGTTATTGCCTGCGGAGCGCAACAGGAGGGGACAGTTTTTTTCACACCGCAGTGAAAATCATCATGGGCGTGGAATGCGTACACCCCCATCCACTGCCTTTTCAGCTTAAAAGGGAGCAGTTTTAGAGGGGCTGTAAAAAAGCGGCTCCACTGTATGTTTTTACTACCACCCAACCGCAAGTGTAAACAAAGCTTAAACCTAAGACCTAAACCTAAGATTCATGTTACAGGAGGGAGTCTAAGGCTGGCCATACATTATACAATTATCTGGAGATTTTGGGTTTAGATTTACCAAAAACCATATAATAGGAGGACAAACCTAAACAACACTTTCAGTTGTATCCAATTAGGCAGGCCCTTGCACTACACAGTTAAAGGTAAATCTAAAGGAAATTGGGCAGAAAATTGGAAGATAATTGTATAATGTATGGCCAGCCTAAACGCACCAGCAACAGGATTAACCACTTAGCTATTGCTATGAAGCCATTCCTCACTGGCTGGACCAGAAAGATGTCACTCTATTGTTAAGTGAAACACCGCAGAATTTTGGGCTAGCAAAGGAACAATCCCATTAAGGCAGTGTTTCTCATCTCCAGTCCTCATGGACCCCCAACAGGTCATGGTTTCAGGATTTCCATTATTTTGCACAGGTGATTTGATCAGTTTCACTGCCTTAGTAATTACCACAGCTGTTTCATCTGAGGGAAATCCTGAAAACATGACCTGTTGGGGGTCCATGAGGACTGGAGTTGAGAAACACTGCATTAAGGTAACTGGAAGCCTAGACCCCCAAAAGGTCTGCTTATTAGGTTGGCAGGACGAGGAGGTTTTAACTCTGCCTATATATACAGTGATCCTTTGCTGTTTTTAGCACGAAAAATTATAGCCCAGAAGTGGATCTCTCTAGCCCCCCCCCAAACTCATGCCTTGTGGGTGAAAGTGGTCGATGATATCCTGATCCAGGAACATATGATGTACCAGCATGGGGGTTGCCCTGGCAAATTTACCACATTATGGAATAATTGGTTAGACATACCAGGACTGCCCGCCCTGAAAGGGACAAGCTATTGGGCCTTGGGTACCATACTATATCTTTCTATGAATCTTTATACTTGATATTTATACTCTTGATGGTAATTACAACATGCAAATGTTGTAATTTGTATATGGCAATATCTGGAGACAACACTTATGTTTCTGCTAACATTTATGTTTTTATTCTTTTTTTCTCCAAGCTTTTGTACTGCGGCCAAGTATTGTCAGGACAAAATGCTTAAAAACTGACTGTAAAAACCTTTTTCAATAAAAATTATCTGAGTTTAAAAAAAAAAGGTAACTGGAAGCCTGTTGTTGGTGATTCAGCTACTGGCAAACTGTTGGGGTCTGGACATGATATACAATGATCAGCTATAACATTATCACCACCCACCTACAGTGAGGTACAGAAGTATTTGAACACCCTGCGATTTTGCAAGTTCTCCCACTTAGAAATCATGGAGGGCTGTGAAATTCACATTGTAGGTGCATTCCCACTCTGAGAGACGGAATTAAAAAAAAAAAATTCAGGAAATCACATTCTATGATTTTTAAAGAATTTATTTGTCTTGCACTGCTGTGTCGCAAACGTGCGCCCCAGAGACTGACGCAGTCTGCCGTTTTGTTAACAGTAGCCATGTTATTCCCTCATTCTCCTTCCCCCTCCCTTCCTGAGAGGCACAGTGACAGATGTGTGTGTGTACTTTTTATGGGTCACTGGCTGGCCAAGGCCTCATTAGCTAGGTGCCAAGCTGTCTGTGAAAGCTGTATCCTTTCTCACCTAGGAAGAGATAGGACCAGCTTTCCCAAGAGAGCTGGAGTCTTACTGGCCAAAGTACCTGTGTAATTTCACGCCTTGTGAAGGGATAGCAGAGCCTTCCCCGGGAGTTGAAAGGGACACTGAGCTAATAAACCTAGCTCAGCGTAGGTGACAGAATTAGATGAACACTTCTCAAATCCATTTGTCCCCTATGTCTCATATCTTGGAATGAGAGACCTACATAAAAGCCGGACATCTCAACGGATAGACGATGAGCAGGCAAACAGTTTCATGGGTCACTCGCCTTATCTTGGGCGCATGGGAAGGCAGAGAAATCGATCTTGCGAACCGTGTAGCATACAATTTGATAATTCATATCTAAATAATCCTCAGGCTTGTCTGCATAATAATATACCCGCGGGTGGACTGTCGCTTGTGCAGATGGGAAGTTGTGGACCAGAATATGAATTATGAAAGATGTTGGCTCCAGTCTAGGGTTCCGCCTGACGATCCCTCCCTAAACAGGGATTGGTCTTTTACTTCAGAACCACCCCCTGCTGGGAAACTTTAAAGCAGGCTGTCAAGCCTAACAGTAGTGAGTTGAAGCATTCTCCCATTTTTTCCATCATAACACAGGGAGATCAAAGCACCCATCTGCTCTAAAACTTGGATCTGCTAACCCAAAGCTTAATGGCAAGTAACTTAACCCTTTAACTTCTCCCCTGTTATTTCTTTGCTGTGCTGTGTTTTCTATACATGTGTGTGTATGTATGTATATATATATATATATATATATATATATATATATATATATATATATATATATATATATATATCTTAGTTACATCTTCTCTGTAAATATTTTTATTGCACCTGTTTGACCCTGTTAGTAATAAATCTTTCTTTCTGAAAGTGTTGAACTGTTTCTATCGCTCTTAATTGCAATTTACGAATCCCTGCCTTTAAAGAGACACTACTGTTTGTGTTAACCCTCTGTTTAACAGGCCTGTATTATGACCGGGTTATGCAGTCGATTATATCAACCATT